TCAGATCACAAGACGCGTCATCCACACACCCTTACCTTTGACTATCAGTATAAAATTACATGTGATTTTATATGCGATATTATGATTTGTCTGTTTTCGTGTTCTCTTATTTAATTACTGTTCTCGTCTATAAATCCTCCTCACTCTTTTCTCTCTCTCTCTCTCTCTCTCTCTCTATATATATATATATATATATATATATATATATACAAAACAGTTCTTTTTTTATATAATTAAACCCAATAATTAAGACACTAATTTTAGGTTGTGTTGTCGAAAACTTGTGACAAAATTAGTCAACAATCAAACACGAGAGCCATATTTATGTAAAAGAATAGTGATGTGTTATCGAATCTTTTTATTTTTTTAATTGAAAATAACAAAATATTTAAAATATAAAATAATTAATGAGGTCTGATTGCTTAACCGATTAATTTTGACCTCCTATTTTTTATATTTTAATTACGAAAGAATAATAGAAACATGACTTACAACAAATATAAAAAATAACAAATTATTTAATTAATATGTCTGAAATTTGGAACACTCAACTTGATTTCCGCAGCTGAAAATGGGGTTTAACACCGAAGAAAAATGCATCCACATTGGTCACAGCTTTAAAAAAATTCAACAAAATAAGAATCACGAAATCATGAATCGGTCTATAATTTATAGAGTAATAAACTGTAATAATAAAATTATAATAACTAAAAATTAATTAAAAATTAAACTTATTAATACAAAAATTGTATAAAATTTACAAGAAACGAAAAAGATCAAAAAGTTATTTTATAATAACTAATTTATTAATTAAAACTCAAGATTACAAGTAGATTGTACGTAAATACAACTTATTAAAGTTTCATATCTGAATTCGTGTAACTAACTGCAGATAAACATAATCAAATACATGATAAATATCTGATTTTAAATATAAAGAATCTAAATATAATTAAGATAATCATTAAGTTCTAACAGAATAATTAATTATTATCATTATAAAATATTATATTATTAAACCAAAAATAAATTATTTCATTATTAAACTTAAATTAAATTATAATAAAAATAAATTAAAGAAATTACATAAAAAATGAGAACTTTTAGATACTTGATTTGATACTAACATTGATATATATTTTTTTCAAAATTTTATTTTATTCAAAGATAAAATCATTATTGTTTTCTTAAAAACACATAAAGTCATATTATAACATTGACATAGACAAAAAATAAAATAAAATATTAAAATCGAGATATATCTCGTTGCATTGCACGAATACCCTTCTAGTATAATTTTTTTTTTCTATAAAATACGTGTTAACTTTTTTGTTGTTATGTTTAATTTTTCTAGGCACCCATGAGACATATCTTCCTAACTATCTAATAATTAACCATACTTTTTTATTAGATTATCAGACCGAGTTTAAGTCCATGTGTTCAGGTGTGTGGACAAAACGGTGGTTATCTGGTATAGTAGGTCTACAATGTTGTAGATGGTATCATAGGCGGATAAACGGCCCCAAATAACAAAGTATGGTAAGCATCAAAATTTTACGCATCAAAATAAATCATAGTGTCGACTTTTATCGATAAGCACTTACCGAGTAAGCAATCGGATAAACGGCCCCAAATAACAAAGATGTGTTATTTTGACACCAAACCACATGGACGAAGAATGTAATTCTTCCAAATATATTTCTTTTTCTTTTTTCCGTAACAAAGCCGGCGCGGAGAGAGCTGATGAGCCGTAGCTGAAAAGTGATGATGAGCATTCACATGCATGCATGTGCATGGTGCATTATCATTACATTCATGTATTTTAACATAGGTTTTTGGAGGTTATTTTTAATTATAAAGACTAGTTTATCAAATAAGAATCTAATTCTTGTCTTGCTTCTTCTATTATTATAAATATTTTTATTGGTTTATTGAATTTATTTTGATAAGTTTATAAAATATATTATTAAAATAAATTAATTAATAAGTCAAATTTTATGTAGAAAATGTAAATTAGTGATATAAAACTTTATTTATTTTTTAGTTTTTGGTTTGCTGAAATCTGAAGGAGTTTAAATAAATTAGAATGAACAGAATTTTATTTTTCAGCTTGGTTTATACTGTAACACCTTAAAATAAAGATAAATAAATATGTAATGAAAGAAAAAAAAAAGGAGAGAAATAGAATAAAAGGGAATTATTCTTCTTTGGGTTAAAAAGGTACCTATCGGAAAATGAAGGGTTAGTTTTGTCATTTAAAATAATAATTTATACTATATATTATAAAGCATTTAACAAAACTCTTAAAAACCACTTTTTATGCGTACAATATTGTTTATAAATGTATATTACTTAAAACTCAAGATTACAAATAGATTGTGCTTAAGTACAATTTATTAAAGCTTCATATCTGAATTCGTGTAACTAACTGCAGATAAACAGAATCAAATACCTGATAAACATCTCATTCTAAATATAAAAAATCTGAATATAATTAGAATAATCATTGAGTTCTAACAGAATACTTAATTATTATCTTTATAAAATGTTATATTATTAAATCGAAAATAAATTATTTCATTATTAAACTTAAATTAAATTATAATAAAAATAAATTAAAAAATTACATAAAAAATAGAACTTTTATATAGTTGATTTAATACTAACATTGATATATTTTTTTTCAAATTTTTATTATATATCTTCAAATTTATAGTTTATTCAAAAATAAAATTATTATTGTTTTCTTAAAAACACATAAAATCGTATTATAATATCGACAAAGACAAAGAATAAAATAAAACATTAAAATCGAGATGTATCTCGCTGCATTGCACGAGTACCTTCTAGTTATAACAAATGGAAAAAGGAAGAAGGTTAATCTTCATCCAAGGATAAAAATTGTCAAATTTGAAAATGGGGGCGCTGAAATGAAAATTATGAAATTTGAAAATAAAAGATATGGGGGGAAGAATGGATTGTTCATGTAAACGATTTGGAAGATATAATAGTCCCTCTGTTAGAGGTGTTTCAAAAATGTATGCGATTGCGTAAATAACTCTACGAACGAATGGATTGGATCGACTTGGAAAATGGAGGGTAAACCATGATTTTAGTCATGTGGTTTGAGAAAGATTACAGTTTTAGTCCATATGGTTTTGAAATTATGATTTTTCATCTTTATGGTTTGTAATTTATTACTGTTTCTATTCTTGAGACTAGATATGTTAAAACTCTTCCATTAACTTAGGAGAGTTTTAGTCTTTTTGATTTATTTTTTCTATTTTAGTTTACTATATATATTTTTTTTTTGGTTTCTTTTTGGTATTTTTGTGTTCTTTAATTTAATAAAATTATATATTTTTTAATAAAAAAAGTAATATATAATTATATTATTTTGTTATTGTTTATGATAAAATAATCAAAATATATTTAATTAATTTCTTATATTTTTTGTCATTATAGTTTTTATGAGTTCGAATACTGTTACTACTGTCATTCAAGTTCAAACCGTTGAGTACCCCTCACATAAAAGTATTTTTCTTCATTAGAGACCAAATGATTGTATTATTTATATAACCAAACAAATGTACGTAATTTTATTAATAAGACGTACAATTGTTTGATCTTATAAGTTATTCAGTTATATCAAACAATTGTATGTCGTATATAAATATGTTATAATAAGTCATATACATTTATTTGGTAAATTTAACCTAATATATTTAATTGTTTGGTTATATAAATATTTAAGCGTTTGATTCCTAATGAAGAAATAAATTAAAATACTATCATGTGAGGTGTACTCAACGACTTGCACTTGAGTGACGTTAGTGACAAAAATCGAACTAATAAGAAATTAAAACTATAATGACCAAAAATATGAAACAACAAATTATATGAAAAGTATTTAATTATTTTATTATAAACAATAACAAAATAATATAATCTTCTATGTATTAATTCTTTTATCAAAAAATAAGTAGTTTGATTAAATAAAAAAGACTAAAATATCAAAAAAGAAACAAAAAAAAAAATACTAAGTTAAATGGAGTAATATAGATTTAGTTTCAGAGATGAAAACAACAACAAATTACAAAACATAGGGACGAAAACAACAACAAATTACAAACCACAAGGACAAAACCGGAATTTCACAACCACATGGTAGAAAATCGTAGTCTTTCACAAACAAGTGGTTATTCGGATATTTTGGGTTAAGGAGGTTATCACCAATTGGGAGCCTTATATGTTGTTTCACGCTGTGATTTTTGGAGTAATACAATGTTTTGGTGTTGGTGAGAAAATCGCTTTGAAAAATCGAAGATTTGACGAGGGGTGAAGGATAAATCGAGAAGCAAAGGCGTGAGGGTTTTCGGAGTTATTTAGCAATTAAAGGTACTTCATTTGGTTGTATCTGTACTTAATTGATAAACATCGATGGTTTATATGTACCTCAATTCATGTAGAAGTTTGGAGTCGAATCAAAAGCCATAAGACTAAGAAATTGATTAGCATCGCGTTTTATGTTGTTGTAAGAAAGTCAGAAAATTTCATGGTATTTGTATGATTCATAACAATTCGTCCAAATAAGGAGTATGGTATGTTTCTAGAGAGATTGACATGTTAAATACGGTATCTCTATGAACGAACGTAGCTTAATAATGGTGTTAAGTGTCCAAAAGAAAATAGTTTTTGAATCTGGTCGGGAATTCGACAGCAGCTATTATATTATAAAATCAATAGTAACTCCGATTTAGATGGTTAATGAATTTTCAGAATCATAAGAGATTCTTCTAAAAGTTTCATTTGTATAGTTTATTCCAGAACGTCTTGGAGATATAAGAAATCGTTGGATTTTATAGCGTGTCCAAATCTTGGATTATTTTGGTTATGTTACACTATTAGGTGAGTTTTCATATCATTAATTACTTTTGGAATGCATACATTGGCATTACAAGCGGTACGTCGATAAGGTAATCAAATAATATTCGATAGGGAAATCCTGCATTTTCCTCTTTTAAAAGAACAATCATAGCTCAAAAATTTAAACATCATGTTTTCCGGTATATCGTCCTATGAAAACCGAAGATGTGTTCCTTTTGGCGTTGGCAAACCCTTGAAGCACGATGGGGATGACGACTCAACGGATTCTTCTTCCGCTTCAAGCTCGCCGTCACTATCGTACACAAATCTTTTGTGTCTTGGGGTAAATTTAGCACCACCATTCACACAAATCTTGCTCAACCCTTCACAAAGCTCATCCACCCCTTCTTCATAGTTCTCTCCAAATCGTTCATCATCTTGATAATTCTCTACGAGTTCTTGATCATCTTCGTAATTCTCTTCAAAATCTTGATCATCTTCATAACCCTCTCTGAATTCTTGATCATTTTCATGCTCATCACTTGTGCTTGCATTCACTTGAACCGACCATAACGATCCATCATCATCTTCATTTTCTTCAAATTTCTCTGTGGAATCCGCAAACAACAACCTTGTTATCAGACTCGTAGTTTCGGTTTCTCCATTTTCTTCTTCCTGATCAAGCATCTACACCCATATGAAATGACACAGAAAAAGAAGAAATCAGCAAAAACCCAATTGAAAACATCAAAAACTAAGAAACCCCAAAGCAGGAACGGAATCAAACCTGCGAAAAATTGTAACTTTCTGAAACTGGAGAGACACCCAAAGACTCTGAACAGTTGTTCATATCCTCAGAAACTTGTGGGGTGTTTGCAGGTGTTGGAGCAAGAAGATACATTGGGGAATTCACAGAGTCTTTTTGTGAACGAATTGAAATTAYGGGTTCGAATGAAATCTTTGAAATCACAGCTTCTTCTTCAACTTTTTGCAGAAGAMTCTTCACTTGACCTCTTAACAAAGCTTCTCCAGACCCAGGTGTCGTGGCCTGTTTTGATTGGCTGTTTTGAATGATCATCCTTGTCTTACAAAATGTTGATGATGGGGTTTTCAAATTCCCAATTGCAAGCCCAACAATGGGTGAATCGTTTGTTATGTCAATCAATGCTGATCTATCTCTTTCTTCCTGTTTTCCACCATTAGTTTTCTGTCTTGATTTCAAAACCCCCTTCTCAGATTCTTCGTTTTTCCCTTAAAAGATCAAAAGATTCGAACTGTAAATCCCGAAAGATCTTGAAACAAACAAGAATCGATAAAAAGAAGTGTAACGATACTCACTTGAAGTTATGGGTATGATGTCGTTTGCAGCCATAGCCAGAGCTTGTGATCTGGTGATTCTTCTTGACGATGAAGATGGAGTCTCCATTACAGTTTTGGTATTTCTTTCGATTCAATGAGAAAGATCGCCGGAAAAGTTATGTACGGTGAAAATAGGGAGATTTTGGATATGGGAAGAAGAGGGGTGAAGGAATTTAAACATGGAATTATCGACGATTGAGGATTTAGGGTTCTAATAAGGGTTCGTTACAAAATATGACCGTTGGAGAGAATGTGTGTCAGCGTGATTTGGCGGCGGAAAATAGCCGTTACCAATGGTGGGCCGATATAAGCCCAAAATAAACATTTGTTGTTATAGAAGACTAGCCCACTTTACTTATTCATTAATTCTTTAAAAAAAATATATTTTTTAATGTTTTTAAATAAAAAGCAACTATGGGACCGTTTACCAAACGTTTATCGGGTAAGTAAACACGAAGTCACATTACCTTACCGGATGAACATGATAAGGACCAAGAATCTTACTCGGTAAGAGCGAGACATGGACCAAAAGTCTTACCCGGTAAATGAGGGCGACGACTCTTACCATGGTAAGCGCTTACCAAGTAAATCGTTACATACGATACCATTTTGGTAGACTAAAATCTTACCCAGTTGTAAATGATATTGTTAAATTTTACCGGTAAATGTTTACCGAGTAAGTGTTTAAGTAAACGGCTCCTATGTTCCTTCATTCAAAGTTTATTTGTTTCTATTTTCGTTAATGAGATGCATAATAATTTTTGAAGTAAATTAGAATTTGAGATATTTAAAATGGAATTAAATTTGGTTTATTTACTAAAAAATGAAATTTAATTTTGGTTTTTTTAATTTTTATTTAATTTATTGAATGCATTTTTAAATAATATTGGTATACTGTTTATTATAAATTGAATAACTTTATTAACTTTTTAAATAGAGATGAAAGAAAAATATAAAAAGTAAAAAATTCTCTAGATTTAACGTAGTCGTTAGTAGAGTTATAACAAGGGACCGTTCCGTAACTAAAAGTGAGATGACGATGACTATAGTATAAATACAATTGTTGAGTTTTTTTTTTTTTTTTAGGGTTGTTTAGAAAAAATTTGGTAGAAATATGGGTGTTTTAAGGCGATCCACTTTTTTTATAATGAAAGTATATAAAATCAGATTATAAAAAAAATGGGTCCCCTTTAAAACACACGTATTACTACAAATACTTTTAAAACACTCCTATTTCTACTAAGTTTTTTTTAAACAACCCTATTTTTGCCCAAAAAAAAAACCTCTACAATTGTTTCATTTGGGAAGCCCGATCTATAATTTATACTACCTTATAAACCAAATTTGAGAAAAGTCATAAAAACAACCATAAATGCATAAGGTACTACCTTCTGATGCACAAAGTCTTTAAAGTCTTAATTACAATATCACAAACACATTGTACAACTAATTTATACACAAAGTCTTAAAAACAACCTATTAACATCTTGATGTACACCAATCAATGCACGTTCCACCTCATCATTAGCTTTCCAACCTCTAGGTCTTCTTCGACGATTCACAGCCCCTAAGACAAAGGATTCACAGGCCCTCTCGGTCTCAATTGACGATTCACAAATTTAATTCCACCTCATCATTAGCTTTCCAACCTCTAGGTCTTCCAAATGGTTGTATAGTAATGTGTAAACAACATCAAACAAAGCTTTATCTTCTTACTGTTACTATTAGTTCAATTTTTATAGTATGTTATGTTAACAGTTGTTGTTGTTGAGAGGTAAGAGAATTCAATGTGTCTGGAAAAGACATTAAAAGGGCATGACTCATTAATTAATCAAATTCGCCTCTATAAGAAAGTCAAAAGATATTGGTTTAGGAATCACAAATTTTGATTCCAAGTATATGGTCTCTTAAAAAATAAGCAACCCAGCTGGGAGGTGTCTATCTCAAGATGGTGATACATCAGTAAATTTTTCTTATCTTTACCCATTATGGAAGGACGTTTTAGATATCATAATCTCTTTGTATTTCTTTTGAGTAAAGTAGTAGCAAGTATTTAGGTGAAGTAGTTGAGTTTAAAGGAGGCGTATCGAAAGTTAATGATTAAGTGTGAGATGAAAAGCCGTATCTTCATCTTTAAAGCCAACCAATTTGAAATGGGCACTTTCAAGATCCCTACCGCTCAATTAAAACAAGATCCTAAACTACATTCAAGTGACATTTTCATGTTTGATGCATCATGTTGGAAGCTCCAGTAAACTCTGTTCAAGTTTGGTTTCACTTAATTTTATGGATGTATTCGAGTACAAATGTGTGTCGATTGCCCTTTTCAGTTTGATTGATGTGCTTTATACAGAACTCAATTGGTTTACACCTCAAAATCAATTGGCAATAAGACTGATGTTTCACTTTTCAATTATACATGTTAATGAGTGGGTTATTTTGCCTAGTAGTCAAGTATTATCAAGTGGGGATGCAACTGCACTTAACAAATGAGTTTGCTTTTGTATACCCATTTGTTGCTTACTGATTCGTACTTATAACTTTGTACCCATTTCTACCAACTTATATCTTTGGGAAAACTACCTGCAAATGTTATATTTTGTGTCAAAAGTTGTTTATCAATGGGTAAAGTTGCCCATTTTATTTACTTCTAAATGTATCTTTGAGATCTCTCAAGCTTATTTTGATCCTAATGGTTACTTTTCTTGTTTGAGTATTTATGTAGCTGAATCATATATATTACTTTTACAATATGTTAGTCAAGGGATGCATCCATGTGTTTTGGTTGATGGTTTTGTAATCGTCAAAAAGGCAACACTAGAATTTCAGTAAAGTTTCAGAAGTGCTATTGTGATGGGCGTAGACCTGACAAAGATATGCTGAAGATGGTTATAAGGACATCATTCAGAACAAAGGTTGTATAAATTTTGAAAAAGGAAGTGGGTTTAACATTTTCTTCAATGTACAGGTCATTTACTTTCATTCAAAAGTAGGATTTATGCTATATAAAATGTGTTGAAGGTGTGCATCGTTAGATGTTGGGATAAAATAAATGGGTACGGTGGGATATGGTTACTTTCTCTACTTGATTCACTGGAGGTTTCTTTTGTCATTTTTATTTACACATCTTGGTATGAGATTAAGGTGTTTGAGAAAGTGCCTCAAAGAGATTAATATGCTTTTGATTCATTGTGATTAATATGCCCCGCTGTATTTTCGCTTGATTTCCAGAAAGGATTTTGATTCCTAGGATTCAAGACTCGGTCTAGGTAATAAATGCTTATATAAGTGTATATTACATAGTTGATATTGCATTGTATGTATGTATGTATGTATGTATGTATGTATGTATGTATGTATGTATGTATGTATGTATGTATGTATGTATGTATGTATGTATGTATGTATGTATGTNTATGTATGTATGTATGTATGTATGTATGTATGTATGTATGTATGTATGTATGTATGTATGTATGTATGTATGTAAATTTGGCTACATGTATATGGCAATGATGAAGATGATGCAGTGCATCTGAAAGCTCTGTGTTTACTGGGTTTTTGATTGGTTTCTTTCACAATATGACGTGATACAATCGTTGTATTGGAAGTTGCTCATGGTTTATCTTTTCATCTTGATTTTAATTATTTACTCGCAATTTGGTGCTTGTTGAACTTCTATGCAATTGTTATTAAGTTAATGTAATATATTTTCCATCTTATTTTTCTCTTTAATTGCTTATTTACGTTTTTATGAAGTTGGCTTATGTGTACTTACGACTTAGAGATCAATTTAACTTTTGTTTGGTAATAAACAATCTCTTAGTTGAAGTACACAAAGACACTATTAACGAGACACCATCAACGATCTCTTAGTTGAAGTACACAAAGGCACGGTGGTAATATGTTGGTGGTAATGGGTAATCATAAGAAGAGATCGTGAAATATAAACATTTTTCAAGATCCTCAACTCGAGAACTAACCATGTGCTCATTGGTAAATGACTGGTTATAAAAATGTAATTTCTAAAAAGTGGTAGGCTATAAATATTGTCTTGTATTTTTTGTAATTATTAAAATCCTTTAAATGGATTTAAATAACAATTGCATTACTTTTATATTCTTGGTTTTTTATTAAAGTCTTACATCTCGCAGTATTGCGCGGGCATACAACTAATCATTTTATTATGAAGTACAATTATATAAATTTACTGTATAGTGACAATACTATAATGATTTATTATTTATTATTTAGAGAATGACTTTTTGTTTAACGAAATAGAAATGAATCAAAGAATGAAAGCTTTTATCATTCAAGTAATTCAGAAGATTTTGAGGTAACTGAATTCCAACAATGTTTTTAATCAAATATGGCTAAGAAATATACCATTTCAATTTTATTGGATTCCGTCAAAATCCACAATCCAAATATGCGTTTACGTTATATTTGATTGTTGAAATAAGATCCGAATTTACAACACCTATTTTTGAACAAGTCCTAAGCTCCTACGTTTTTGGACAAACTCTAAATTCCTATAGCAGATAATAAGCTTTGATTAGATTAAAGACTTCTATGTGAAGTCTTTTTTGTACATATATATTATAAACCCCTGGTTAGCCACGTAGTGTAGCAGAAAAGAGGTTCTCTTGTATCTCTGTGATTCTCCTCATATTCTCCATAGCAAAATCATCGGTTGTGTAAGCGGTTTTTCCCTTAAAGGTTTTCCACATAAAATTCTTGTGTGTCTTGATTGTTTGGTTCCTTTTATTATTCATGCTACTCTAATCATCTTTAACAAGTGGTATCAGAGTTATGGCTACTTTGAAGTATGATTTACCGTGACTGGATTTGAGACACAAGGTTCTCATTATGGTAGGTCAAGATGTGAGCAATATTAGCACAAATGGATCTTGACGACGCTTTGCTTGGGCATGATAAGATGCCGACAAACCTGGTCCGCTGAGGAGAAGGAAGGTGGGTTGTAAGGCCTTATCTCACATTGATCTTCATCTATCAAATAGTGTTCTACACGAGGTTTTGAAAGAAAAAGTGCATCCTACTTATGGTTTAAAATGGAACAGATCTGTATGACAAAACAT